CCAGGGGTCCCCCCCCCCCCCAATGTCACCCAGCCTTCGATTGTCCTATCCTTACAGTCTAGCATTATTGTCCACCTCAGCCTTCATCCCAGCCCCGGTCACCTCTGTTCTACAACAAAATCTGCTGTCATTGTTGTCCCTGCAATTTTGCACCTTCACCTCACTGCCACCCGCATTCATTTGCTTCCATAACTCCTGTCAATCATCCCGTCCCACCTAGCCGACCTCCACCGCCCTTGAAATACACCTTGGAGGTGTTTGCTTGTGTCCATGTTTGTGTTGTATGTTGTGTTGTGTTGTAACCCTCTCTCTACATCAATAAAAGTTTGTTTTGCATTTTCCGTTGATTTTCCTACTAGTTCCGGTATCATTTGGTATCAAAGCTAGCACAGCCCAAGTCCAATCCAAAGGTTTCCTAGCATCAACCTTATCCCTCCAACAAAATTTTCATTCCTACCCTCAATCACCTCTTTCGATTTCCCCAAACCCTACTCTACCAAAATTTTCCTTCCTAATCCTTAACCCTAGCCATGTCACCTCAAATGTTCATGTCAGAGCCTACCAGGGAAGAGATGAGGTGGGAGCTCCGTCGCCTTCAAAAAAGGCTTGCAGAGATTGAAGAATTAGCACAGGAAGAAGTTACCTTTGATCGAGATATGAGGAGTTGAAGAGGAGAAAATGATGAGTATTTGAATCCCTTCTATAGCAATAATTTCAGCAAAGTAGAGACAAGTCATGGCATTTCAGAATCCAATATCGTAGGAGGTCTAGATAGGGATATATGCATCCCCTCAGAGGGAGACTCACAGAGAGGATATATCGTTTGGAGGACACCGAGACTTCGGCGTCAAGATAGATCTGCTAAAGTTCGAAGGAGATATGTATCCTGAGGAATTCATTGATTGATTACAGGCTGTTGAGCGGATCATCGAGTATAAAGATGTACCAAAGAATAGGCGGGTCAAATTAGGCTGAAGAAGAGTGTTTTTTTGTGGTGGAAGAACTTATAGAGGTAGAGGAAAAGAGATGACAGTGATAAGATTACCAGGAGAGAGAAGATGACGAAAACAATGCAAAAGAAATACCTCACACCCCATTACCACCAAGATATATTTCTGAGGCTCCATCATCTATAGCAGAGGGATTTGTCAGTGGAAGAGTTCACAGAGCAGTTTGATCATTTGCAGATGAAGTGTGGTCTGACAGAACCAAAGAAGAATACAGTAGCTAGATACCTTGGGGGCCTGAAGCCTAGTATTAGCAATTTGGTACAGCTGCAACATTATTGGATGTCGGGGGATGTCCAGACACTAGCCCTAAAGATGGAAAGACAGCAGAAGCAGAGCCGGTAACAGTCATCTTTCAGGCAGCAACTTGCAGGTAGGCAATCACCTACAGCTATCACGACAGACAGAGGTATTCTGAGAGAAACAGGCAAGCCCAAGCACGGGAGTGATACTCTAGATCAAAGCGGAAAGAACCAGGAGAAGGGTAGCTCCCCCAACACTATGTCACGCTACAGTCACTCGCCTCCAGCTGTCTTACGAGCAGAGTAGTCACACTTACAGATCAGGGCGCCGTGAAGGAGGTTGACGAGGAGGAGACAGTTAAGGACCAAAGTGAGATACATGATCTTCCCCCAGATGAAGGAGATGCACTCGTAGTTCGACGGGTCCTACAGGTCGATATTGACATGAGGGATACATAGTGGATTCGCCCCAATATTTTCTACACCAGGTGCATAGTGAACGGAAAGGTATGTAATTTTATCATCAATGGCGGGAGCAGCAAGAATGTTGCATCGACTTAGATAGTAAAGAAATTAGGACTCACGACTCAGAAGAACTCACAGCCAACTCACTGGCATGGCTGAAGGAGAATTTGATCAGCATCAACCGGAGATGTTTGGTAGGGTTCTCAATCAGAGGCCAACTGCAAGACCAGGTGTGGTGCGACATGTCCCTATAGATGTCTGTCACCTTCTGTTGGGACGACCGTGGCAGTTTGACGAAGAACTCAACACGATAGATTCAGAAAATACTTATTCATTTACCAAGGGAGGAAGTGCATCATTCTACTTCGGCAGAGCCCGAGATCACAGGAACCTTTACAAACATAGTGGCGTCAGTGAGGCTAGTTTTAGTGACGACACGGGATTAGAGGACTGAGATACCAGTTTCAAACACGGGATAATTACGCAGAGAGGATGCCAGTGCCTCACAGTTGATAATATACCACCAACTCCACCACTGGACGAGAAGATGCAGCGTAATCTCACAGCACATCAGACTGACCTAATCGTGCGTTACCTCGTGAGGATCCAGGAGTACAGACATGGGTCATAGTCTCAGAAGAGCAGATTGAGGGGCACATGGGCGCATAAGTGATGCCGACTTCTTCGATGTTTTGGCCGACAGTGTAGCCAACAGCGGGACCCAAGTGCAACCAAGGTTGAAGACAAGTACAAGAAGCTTCGACGAATGAGATCGAAGCTCCCTCAACCCCGGAAGACTAATGCGAAAGCGAGACTCCCTGACGAGGGAGTAAGGTCTCCCGCAACGTGACTTTCAACTAGTGAACCAGCCGGCCCAATTGAGGCCAGTCCAGAGTGAACCAAGGCCAAGCCAACTGGAGGCTGGAGGTGAGACTGTCGCCCACCCCTCTCCTCCTTCCTTTCTAGCCGCCGCCCAAAGGGGGAAATCTTCCCTTATTATTTTATCTATTAGTTATTATATATGTGTTGTTTTGTTTGTTATAGTTAGTTTTTGTTGTGTTCTACTTTCAGATTACTTGTGTGGAGATTTTCCCCGTTCTACTGCTATCTACGAGGAGGTGGTGGTGCTCCGGATGTATCATTCGCCAAGTTAGTGTTGTATCCTTCCTTTTTACCATCCCTACTCCTCCCCGCACCCCACCCCGCTCCAGCAGTTGCTAGCCTCCCCATCCTTCATCCCTGCACCCAGCCAACCTTCCCTCAACAACATACTCTTGTTGTCCGGCTCCTAGACGTCACCACAGCCTTCAACCGCCCTATCCATATAGTCAAGCATTGTTGTCCTCCTCCACAGCCTTTATCTCAGCCTCGGTCACCGCTATTTTGCAGCAAAACTTGCTACTCAACCCTCCATCATTGTTGTCCCTACAATTTTACACTTTCCCCTCACTGGCACCAGCATTCCTTTTTTGTCATCACCCCTACCAACCATTCGAACCCATCACCTAGCCGACCTCCACCGCCCTTGGAATACACCTTACTGAAGTTTGCTTGTGTCGTTCATGTTTTGTGTTGTGTTGTAACTTTCTCTCCACATCAATAAAAATTTGTTGTGTTTTTCGTTGAATTTCCTACTAGCTCTGGTATTACTCACCTTAACCTTCAATCGTTCAATTCAGCTACTCAAATTACACACATAAAGTTTTCCTTATAGCTTATGGTGTCAAGGCTTACACTTAAAGCCTCCTACCTGCACAACTCTTCTAATCTGCAAGCCAGCCCCTCTCCTGCAAGCCAATCTGCTCGATTCGGCTCAACACCTGCATGTGAGAGCTCCTTCCTCTCTTCTTTATTCCTTTTATCGGCTAGTGCACAACTTCTCTTCCACTCGATTCGGTTCTTTCTCACATGAGCCGCTTCTTCCCTCCTTATTCTTTCATTCAATTCTCCTCCTCCTCTTCCTTCGTACCGAACGAAATCGAGCCTCTTGCATGCGAGAAAAGGGCACCTTCACTGCGGGCGGTGTCGTCTTCCTTTGTATATGAGCCACTTCTCTCTTTCTTATTCTTATTTTCTAACTCTTCTATCTTTCTCACTTCTCCCCTATTTCGAACAGAAAGCCTCTCCTAATAGCAAAACTATCTCGACGGAGACAAACCCTTGCCACCGTTTCGATATTTTTTTATTTAATTTTTTTTTCTTTTCCCGGTTATCACACTACATTAGCAAGGTGTCATCTCAACTACCACTTAGTAAACCATGGTGGCAAATGGTTGAGAGATCCATGATCGAATATAATCTTTTGAGAACTTGATCGTGCTAACACAAGTCTCGTAGGTAAACTTATTAGATGATACGCCTGCATATCAAGTTTTCTCATTGTTGAATTGCAGGGAGGAACTAAGCTTGAGATGCAATAATATTGGACAAGTAATGTAGATCTTAGCTTTTGCTTAAGATCCAAAAAATATAGAATCTGTAGGAGAACACATGCCAACCGGCCTAGCAAGAAAAAAAAGGTATTGCTTTTTGTAAATGGAAACATGTAACTGCCAAATCCAACCAAAGTTAATTAAATTAGTTTGAGGCTGGGCGTTTCACAAATGTACATGAAATAGATGTCTAAAGATGCCTATGTTGGGTTGCCAAGTATCTTCACTTGTTCCCTTCATTCAGCAAATGTCGTTAAAATCGTGATAAGAAAATAAAACCCAAGAAAAGAAGTGAAATTTTGATTAAATGAATATTCATATGCTTAAGTGGTTCTAAGAGAAAAATATAAATCAAAATTCTATTTATTTTGCATAACAGATAGATAACCAAATGACAAAAACTTCATAAAGCAGTTGACGATGTTTCGTGAAGAGCCTAATCACCAACCATAAAGTTCTAGTTCTTTACCCATTTCTCAAGTAAGAAAGCAGCGAAATTTCATTGTGCAGGCCACGGCCTTCTAAAACAATAGCCACAATATCATATCCTCTAACCTTCAAGCTTTCATACGCTGAAATAGTCGCAGATATACCGCCTAAATGGCCATCTCCAACAAGAATAACTGGTAACCTAAAAGGCCTGCACAATAGTATGAGTCAAAACAAAAATAAGAAGGCAAGAACAAAATAAAAATGGAACAATAAAACAATATGAGTCAAAACAACAATCAGAAGACAAGCACAATGGCAAAAACATAAAAATTAAAATGATCAAAAGAAAAGCAAATAATATGGAACAATAAATTACAAAAGGAAAGGATTAGCTAAATTCAAAAAGTTTGGAAAGCAAATAACATGTTGTGAAATATACCTTACGCTAACACACACAGAGAGAAAGGCATATATGTGCATGTGTGTGTGTGTGTGTGTGTGTGTGTGTGTGTGTGAGACATATATGTGTGTGTGTGTGTGTGTGTGTGTGTGTGTGTGTGTGTGTGTGTGTGTGTGTGTGTGTGTGTGTGTGTGTATTCTAATTGGCATGAGCTCTATAAGTCTGTTTGGCATTCATTCCTATTAAGTGTTGCGAAAGGTTCTCATTTAATCTTCACAAATTACATTGAGCAACTCTAATCCTTATTACCTTAATGAACATAATTTCCACCATAATCTTGGGACACTAATTTTATTTTACAAATTGAAATGCATCTTCTACCCATTTTCTATGCTCAAACCATGCATCTACCTTAGCTTCAATAAATCTCAACCAAGCCTTTAATATAATTATTTCTTGATTTACACTATATATTCTATAATATTGTTATAAATACATCTTAACATTCTCCTTTGCATCATTCTCAACTTAATTATAAGCTACTTCATTGCCTAATAGACACGTCCATACAACATAATTGATCTAATTATAATTTAATAAATGTACCTTTTGAGTATCTCTGATATTCTCTTATCGCATAATGTTGCAAAAACTTTTTAACAATCCAATCTTAATTATATAAACATATTCTCATCTAGATCTCTATTCTTCCGTATACTAAATCTAAGACTGTTGACCTCATTTTTGAGGTCATTTCTTTTTCCTTAGGGTCTTAGGATCTAGCTCTAGGAGTTCCTATTGACCATCTTAGAAAACTAGAATTGAGACCCACCTTTTTTTAAAAAAATTCTTACCAATTCCTATTTTTTTCTTTGATGTCCAACATTTATGGCACAATACCATCGTCTTATGAACGAGCGGTTATGGGCTATTTTGTGAAGACTCGAACGAAAAGCTCCTAATAGGACTCTAAGCCTTAGGAAAACATCGTCATGACTTTTTCGTCACATACACACACCAAATACACAAAGTTCACAAAATTGCACGAAATCGGACTTCAATTAAGCCTAAAGAACGGGTGAAAATGCGAACTTCTCGGGATGACTTCCGAAGACAAAATGGACTGCGTCAATGCGTCCGGGACACAAATTTTGGTAGGAAAGGACACCCATATTGCCATACTTTCGACACGAGAAAATTAGCACGCAAATCGATGAATTCGTCAAAGCGACCTCTGACGGCAAAACGAACTGCACCAGAGCATCCGAAATGTCGAAATTACCTAAAAGGGGTATCCAATTTGTGATTATTTCACACGAATTAAAATGTGTAAATTAACCCTTTTAATTTAAAAATTAAGTTTTTTTTAATACTTATATTACTTTAATTATATAATTATATCACCTAAATCTTATTCACCTAACCCGCGGCATTCATTTTCCTGTCCCTCGACCGAGAGCTGCTCGGGTGTGCCGTGCCCTAGCTCCCGCAATTTCGCTTGGGCGTGGATCGATCGAACGATGCCGCCGAGCCCGAACTTCTTCTCCTTTCCTCTGTCATTCGCATTTGCGCTCGCCTCTTCGATCTCTGCTTGACCGAGCGAGTCTCCAATCGAGGGTTTCCACCTGGCCGACGCTTCTCTTCCTCGAGGCGGAGCGCTCTCCTCCGTTTCATGTCGTTTCATTTCTTCTTTGTGATTCGTTGGCTAGGGAGGCTGGTAGGTGGCTTCTCCTTCCTCCTTTCTTTGCTTTAAAAAACCCATTTGGGGGAGGATCAAAGGTTGGCCGAAATTTTTGAGAGTGGGGAGATGCTGCCAAAATCTTTTCTAAACTTACATTTTCTTCTCATCTTCTGTGGCTTGGGAGTTGTTGAAAATTTTGAGAGAGAAATGAAGAGTTCCTGAGGAAGAAGAGTGTTGTTGGAATCCTCTTTAAGCTAGAAATTTCGAGTGTTTGTGACGTGGAGCATTTTTAGTGGTCGTTTCTTAGGATCTTTAGGAAGAATATTTCGCTTGGAGTGGTCTTTTCTTGAACCATTCTTATAGTTTTATTTCAAATCTGCTAAAAGAGGTATTCCTTTTCCTCTCCTCTGTTTTGTTGTCTTGCTCGAAACATGCTATTGGAAATCTTGAAAAAAAAAATGCTTGCATGAATATTTCCTTAGGGTAGTGAGAAATGAAATATACACATATGGATCATCTTTATTTTCTTTAATTGAAGCGTTTGAAAGTATGGCTACGGTAATCTAGAAATGCACCTTTATTCCTTTATAAATGTCTATGGAAAAGCATGTTTGAGGGTTGTCTCTATTATTTTCATTGTTTGAAATGTTTGAAAGTAAGAAATGCATGATTGAAAAATATGTTTATGAATTGGAAAATTATATTTGGGGCTCACATCTTGCATTTCTTGCTGCCCCTCGATGAAAAATATGCTGGAAATCATTTTTAAAGTTGGAAAATTATATTTGGGGGCTCATATCTTACCTCTCTTGCTGCCCCTTGTTGAAATACATGCTAAATGTTATTTTTTAATGCTGGAAATTACATTTGGGGGTTCATATCTTGCATTTCTTGCTGCCCCTCATCAGAATATATGCAGGAAATTCTGTTTATGAGCTGGAAAATTATATTTGGGGCTCACACCTTGCATTTCTTGCTGTCCCTCGATGAAAAATATGCTGGAAATCATTTTTAAAGTTGGAAAATTATATTTGGGGACTCATTTTATGCTCTCATTGCTACCGCTTTTCTGAAATATGTGTTCTAGAATGTTTTATGAGGTAAAAACATAAGTTTGGAGCTCATTTCATGCTTCCTATTTTGCCCCATGTATTGGATTCGATTCGCCCTTTTCTTGGGTTTGGTTGTGGCTTTATAAAATTTGATTTTTTATGACCCTGTTTTAGCCCATTTGGTGGGCTTGGTTTGAACACTTTTGAAATCAAGTTCATGCTTGAAATATTTTTTGGTTTGCTCCCCTTGTGCTGGGCTCGGTTTCTCTCTTTCTTTGGCTCGGTCTGGAATTCTTTTTAGTGGTTTATATTGGCTGAAATCTTTTGTTGTTTTGGAATATTCCTTGGGCTTGACTTGCCCATGTGTTGGGCTCGGTTCGTCCCTTATGTTGGACTTGCTTTCGTCCTTTTTTTTTGTGATTTATGCTGGCTGAAATTCTTTATCGTTTTGGAACATTTCTTGGGCTCGGGTTGCCTTTTTCTGGGCTTGTTTCAAGCTTCCTTTGGTAACTTATATGGGCTGAGGTTTTGGAATGTTTTTTGAGCTTGGTTTGCCTTCGTAGTGATCTAGGGTTCCCCCTTTTCCTGACTCGGCCCGTAAGCTTGTTTGGGAGCTTTTAAACTGTTAAGTTTGTTGTAGCAAAATTGTAGAAAGCTGTTGTTAGCTGTAGGAGGTTCAGAATTATTGTTTGGAGTAGTTTGGAAGCTTAAAAGTGTCATTAATTGCTGTAGTTAGTTGTTTGGGTGCTGCAATTACTGTTTGCACTCAAGTAGCTGGTGATTGGGCCCATATAAATGCTGTTTGGTGGCTATTTGATGGTTGGTTTTGTGGTGATTATGTTCCTTTTGTGAGCCTTACCCGTGGGCTCTCCCATCTCTTATTGTCTTACCCGTGAGCTTTTGATTAAAATTGAAGTTGAAGGGCTTTGATAATGGTATGATTTTTGGAGGTACAAAAGGATGCTCCTTATGAATTGTTCTCTTATATTTTATGAAATGTAAAAGACTCTTGAAGCTTCATTTTGAGTTTGATGTAAATTGAAGTCATGTTGGGTTTGGAAATCCATAAAAGTGTCACTTGGAAAGGATATCCTTCTCGGGATTGATCCAATCATTTTCCTTTTAACGAGTTTAAATGTTTTAAACTGATACATTCATGAGTTTTATTGATTTAACTTGGTTTTAAAAATGGATCGGTCTACATTTTCGTTCGTTTTGTTTTCTTTTTTTTTTATCGGTCAAGTTAAAAATGAGACCCAGTCAAGTTAAAAATGAGAATCTCTGATTCAATAATATTCATAATTGATTCATAGTCTTAAGAAATATATGAAAGAAAGAGAAAATGAGAGAAAATTAAAAATTGAAATTTGAATTTTTTGGATGATAAAATCTAAAGAGGAGATGGGGTAGCGAACAATCCAACTTTTCTTTTACATAAGGAAAAATGAATTGCAAATTGGAAGTTTAGTTGTAATCGAAAAAAATAAGAATTTAGATAACGATTGAGAAATTAGTGACTTACTCTTAGATCTCTTAAGCTTTGAATCAATTTAAAATCAAATTCCTTTAACTAGGATTGAAGCACAACTCACAACTCTTTTGTCAAAACTATGAGTTTACTCCTAGGTTTTAGGAGTCTGGTAGCGAGCTAAGCTGGATCTATAGATGTTTGAGGGTTAGTGGAAAGACACTTAATTGAGATTAGACACCTTAGGACACTTCAAGTTTAACCTAAAGTGCAGGCATCTTAGATCTTAGAAGCACAACTTAAGAGATAGTTTATCATCCTAATTTTCAAATGACCCTAAGAAGTCCAAACATCTAACCTCAGTTTAGGAGATAAATAAGACACTAGGCACGAGGGTGCACTAGATTGTGACTCATGACTGATTTAATTAAATCAAATAATGAAATTCTTACCTTAACTTGACCAAAACTGAAACCCAATGCTCCGGAATTTGAGTTTGTCCTACACTCAAATCCTCCTGGCAATTGGGGACATTCCAGTATCACATATAAATTTTCTATCCTTGTTCCTTTATATGTGATGTTGTATTTTATTTTATTTGTTTGTC